GGGGGGGGGGGGGGGTGTAAGCGTCCCACATTGGTAGAAGAAATGGGTTGTTGCCTCCTTATATGGTCTTACGCAAACTTCACTTCATGAGCTAGCTTTGGGGTTGATTTAAGCCTAAAGTCATTTCTTATCTAGGATTTTAGACTTTAGATGAAAATCTTTTGGAAGAATGGAAAGTAAAGGAAGAAAAAGAAAAAAGAAGAAGAGAATAAGCGGAGGAGGAACAGAAAGTAAGTTCATTCAGTTCATATCCAGGCAGATTGAGTTAAATCTTATTGATGGGCAGAAGAAGAAATTAGTGGCTTTTGGAGCAATTTACTCTCTATAAAACGCGGAGCATTTCAAAGCAAAAGTTCTGTGAATTGAATTGCTAGCTCTCGGGCATTAAGCCAGAAGACTTTGTTACGGAATTTTATACATTTTCTGTGGTTTTTCGTCTGCTCAAAACTGAAGGCTAGAGTGACTGTTTTCAGATTCTTGAAAGTTACAAAGAGGCCAAGACTGGATTTGGATCTGGCTACAATATCGAAACTTCAATTCTGCGAGCTGTGTATGACTGCCCCTTCCTTGGTCTGGGAGTAAAGGTAAGGAGAAATTCAACTACACTGATAGAGTACAGTATATGCTTTCCTTATCTCATCTACATACGTGGCAGCTAATAGTTCCTGCTTCCAACTTCTACAGTCAAGCTTATTATTTCATCTTGAAGAAGTTGTTGAGGTGGAGGATTTAAACCCCATCAGTATCGTCCCCTTCTCCTTATAATTAATTACACAATTATATATATGTATACACACACACACACACATCAATTTTTACAAGTTGTATTAAAGGTACTTTCTGTAAGCTATTATGATTTCACGTTCTTTACTTCCCCTCTCTCTCTGTGGTCTTTTGACCTCTATTTGAGGCCTTCATCCTTTTTGCTTACTCGTTCTTTCTCAGGGCTCAAATGGTGTGATTATATGCATTATTGCAAGTTCAGGTGCTGTAAACTCCAGCAATGTGCATAGCATCTTGCACACGTTTCGTCAAACTACCGGATGTAGTGGAGACATTGTGATTTCCATTGTCCAGGAACCCAATATGGAGCCAAATTTAATAGTAACTACTTTAGTTACATGTGGGTAAGTTGTCTTAACAAATGGAACCAAATTTTATTCTTATCTCTTTGTTAGAGTAGGTTTAGTTGTTTTATGAGTTTTAACTTGTCTAGGACCCTTTTGGATCATAAAAGTCTTGAACCCTTGACCTAGTGGAAGACTTTAAAGCAAATAAGCATTTACTCAAGCACCACACTCAAGGAAGACTAGTACTCTTTGAATTGATCCTTTTGTACTTTGCTTTCAGCGCTTGGTGAATGATCACTTAATGAATTGATCTCCTTATTATAGCTCTCGCTTGCCCTCTCCCTCCCCCATCCTCTCTCCCCCGTTCTCTCTCCAGATTTAAGTGGGTCAACATAGGTTGAGTCAGTCTAGGATAAACATGGGTCATAGCCTAACATGCTGCAGTCAAAACCATTATTCATTAGTTTGTCTAATAGGGAATCCAAGAAAATTTTGTGTTTCTTATATAGGAGCGTGTTTTCCCTATTCTCTATAGATCTGACCTACCATAGCTGCTTGTTGGCATGATATGCTGAAGACTACCAGAAAGGCATTGTACAAGGAACGTCACTGTACCATCTTTGTTTCCTGAAAGGCTGAAACTGACTGATGTTCTATTTCCTGCTTGAAGTCTGACAGTTATATGGAACTCTTCCTACCATTTCATAATGTATCTTAATAACGCAACTCCATAAAGTATCTTAATCCTGTTGGTACTCCATTCACCCTATTAGACTTAATATTTGTTAGTGATAACCTTTCTCCACAAGCCTCCATTTGCCTAGTAGAGCTCTATTGAAAACAGTCCCTTCCCCTGCCTTGTTTCTTCACCTCCTGCCAATAAGAAATGTGGCTTTTCTTTGTCTTATAAGAAATTATTTTTGCATAGAGCCCTATTTATAAAATAGGGAGCTACTTCGAACTTTTGAACAACTAGGATTCTAGCTCTAAATGAAAGATAAGACTATCTTAACTAAAAAAATGATATGAAATAGTGATAATATGTCTTTTTGATTCAGTACTCTATGCATTTAGACAAGTGTAATGTACTGTCTTTTATCAACTACCAATGCATGCTACTCTAATTCTTAGAACAAGATATCCTAGTAAGTCGGGCCCGATAAGTAAGCTTGGTTGCGCTGCTCATTATAGAATGAGATCAACTGATTAAAGGAAAATATGTATTTAGATATTTCCTGTTAGGTGTTACTTCTTCTCCTGTATATTGAGAGGATTCCTTTCTACATGTTGTACAATTTTGTGACTAGCCAGTGAAGATTTGGTGTCTGCTTTCGTTCATGATCAGAGAAATGCATCCTTTTTTTTTTCTTTTGTTTTCCTGTATACTGGCTTTCTTTCACATGGCTTCTTTGTTTGTTGCCACATTCTTTCACTTCTTAAGATGTTATGGCGATGGTTTGCTAAAGAGTTCAACCTGTTCTGTTTGCTAATTTATACAACTTTCTGAAATCCTGATTCTTGAGTACTTATGATTCTTAGGTACGCTGAACAGGAATCTTCCCAAAAAAGTAACTTATTGTCTAGACTGACACAACATATTCCTTTCATTTTTAATATCCTTAAGAAGCCAGATCCACCACTTCAAACTGCTAAAGAAAGCGAAATCGATGAGAGTCCAGTAATTTCTGATATGGCAGAATTTATTTCTGTGGATAATGCGCGTAAGGATGAGTCAGTCTATGCTGGGGAACTGCAGGCACTATTTCGCACTGATAGTGAAGGAACATCTTCTTTGAGGTCTTCCTCTATTCTTTTTAGACTATCTAAGTTCACCTTTGATGAATTCATTGTCAGACGGGACATATGTTGCTCTTACTTGGAGAAATTTCTTTGCTTTGCAGAGATTATGATAATGTTTCTGATGAAAGGAAGATTGAACTATCAAACTTTGACCCTTATTCATCCACGGATGATGTTGGTACTGAAGGTACATAGTTATTTTTGTTTAGGTTCACTCAGTTTTTCATACAGTAGCGTCTTGACATGAATGCACGCAATGACCTTCATCAATTGCAATAAGATTAAAGTGGTAAACAAAATATATTAGAAGAGCATATCAAAGTTATGAGCCTATAATGGAATAGTGAAGTCCTGATCGAAATGGATTTTACAGAACCTCTTGTTTTTAAAAGAGAGCTGCTCACCAGATGGAATCTCAGGCCAGGAAATGACACTTCAGAAGGATTAGCTACAGAAGGGACTGAGAATATAGAAGCAAGTGACATAGTTGACAATACCAGCACCTACAAACTTCCGGTTGGTGTAAAGCAGAAAGAACAGTTGCAAACTAGTTCAGGTTCCTCAAACTCAAGAATTTATACAGGGAGGAAATCTGAAGAAAGCAAAATCGCTCAGTCTAGAGATATTTCAAGTCTATCTCAGGATGCAGTGGATGAAGAATACAGCGAAATTATGGCAGATGTTTACAACTCTAACCCTTCCTTGACTGAAAGAAACTATGCCAGTGTTCCAAAAAAGAAAGGAGTTCTCTCTTCTCGGGCAGCCTCTATGCTGGTAAATAGCCTAAATTAGTGCTGGACATAATAATCAAATTTAATTTTATCGTAAGGAAAACTTTATCAATTTAATTATAAGATGTTTGTACTGTCTAGATTGCACAAACTTCTGTATACGTTATTGTTTTGTATCAATTGATTCTGTTTCTTTAAATTTGATAACTTTGGCTTTAGGTAGTGTTATACTTGCTAGTGGAGCTGTTGGATTTTTTCATTATCTTACAGATCTATGTGCTACAGATATTTTAAGAATGAGAAATGACAAATACTATTTCAAATAATGAGGAAAATGAAAGGTGTTGTGTCAACTTATACTGGTGATCATTTACAATGCAAATTCATGAACTGGTGAACGGACCTTAATGCAAGTAGAAATCAAGAAAGGACATGTAGATCTTAACGACTAGGTCTTACTAATTTTGCTTTATGCAATCATAGTCAGTTGTGATCCCATGATTACATTGAGCGGATTTGAATTTCTGCTTTGGTGTTTTTACATAGTTGAAGCTGTTGTAAGACATGGCACCAGAGCCTTTTCCTCCTCTCTCCACCTCAAATTTATCCGTGTCTGGAGGAAGCTAGACATCAGAGTATCTTGGTTGATTATATGACGAAGAACTTAAGTGGGACAGTTTTGATTGAAGTTAAATTTAGTTTTTATTTGTTCTAAGGGTCTATCGGAAACAGTCTCTCTGCCCTTCCAGGGTAGGGGTAAGGCTGCGTACATCCTACCCTCCCCAGACCCCACTTGTGGGACCACACTGGGCTGTTGTTGTTGTTGTATTTGTTCTAAGGTTTTAAGTTGTGCCATCATCATACTCAGGAAGCCGAACGAGATTCAAAAAAGAAGTGGATTCCTATAGTTGAAATGAAATACAGGGGAGGTATATACAGAGGTCGGACTGAAGGAGGACTTCCCGAAGGAAAGGTACTTTGATTTAGCTGTTGAGATTCAGAAGACCCGTTTCCTGTGCTACTTTAAATTTTTTATTCAGCCTCAAAAAGAAGAAACTGTTAACTATTGGAGTGTCAAAAGGATTTCCTTGACCATAGTTTTATTAATTATCTTTTTAGATATTTTATTTTTGAAATATTATGATATATAGTACTTTTATGTACTTTCTCGATATGAAGTTTATTTCCAAAAACTCAGGAAACCGAGATCCGAACTCAGATAGATGATTATAGTTTTTATTTTCTATATTTGTGTTTCTCTGGATGAAAGTGAGTTTCGAATTCTACAGGGCTGTTTGTCTCTTGGAGATGGAAGCAAATACGATGGTATGTGGCGCTACGGAAAGAAGTCAGGGTTGGGTACATTTTACTTCAATAATGGTGATATTTATCGGGGGTCATGGAGAGATGATCTCATGCACGGAAAGGTACCAATATTCCTTCATTGAGTTCTGATGGTTGTGTACAAATTTATTATATAAATACTAGTGTGGCGGGCACTTTTGCCTCACGCTATCAACTTCTTGTTCTTTGTTTCCTTAAGTTTCTGAAAGTTATGACATTTCAACACATCATGGATGCAAGTCGGCACCTTTTCCAAATATACAAACGAGCACGCGGAGTGGCTTCCTTGGCACTCACGTGGACTGTTTGGAAAAAAAGGAACCTGAGAGCTTTTGAGCAGTTTGAAAACTCATTTGTAGATTTTAGAAGCGCATGTTAGTTTTTTGTGAACTTTTGGAGTAGGTAGGAAATTTTAATTGGTTTAGACTTTAGACTACTGCGTGCTATCTTTTGGCGATCATTTGAGATTCTCCACCTTTTGTTTACTGGTTGTAAACAGGATTACTCCCATTTACATCAAGAATTTATTACGTCATCAAAAAAAAAACCAGCAGCTATCCAGATTATTCTCACCTTTTGTTCTTCAATACTCAACTCGCTTAAACTGATAACAATCGTTTTTCAAGAGTTGTTTAATATTTTGAATAAATACTTTGAATTTGTGTACCTTTCATGTAACTTCTGTATCTGTTTATATGAGTTTCAAATGACAAATTTATCCATGATCAGTTTCATCATGAGAATTGGTCAAGTTGATTCTCAAAAAGTGAAGGGACAACAATTTTGGACTGGAGGGAGTATCACTTTTCTCCCTCGGAGCGATTGCTCGATTTAAAAGAAAAGATACATTCCAGACCACGGCGCTTTATTTAGTGATTTTCGGATTAAAGTGTTTAGATGCCACTGATGTATGGATAATTGGATATTACTTTGAGAAGCAGGTTTTGCACAGTTTTCTATCTCAGAAGAAAATTTGAATCATTTTAGCTGTCATTTTCTAAATAAGTAACAGTTTCTATAACTATATATAGGGGTGGTTTTACTTTCATACTGGGGATCGATGGTTTGTGAACTTTTGGAAGGGAAAGGCTAATGGAGAAGGACGTTTCTATTCAAAGCTTGGTGATGTTTTCTTTGGCCACTTTAAAGATGGATGGCGCCATGGCCGTTTTCTTTGTATCAACATTGACGGGACGAGGTATGTGTGTTCAGTTTTACAAACTTTTCTACTTTGGGTATCATTTTTACACCTTAAAATACCAAATGCTGAACTGGAATGTAAAGTTGCATTAACGCTGAGATACTGGTGCATATACCCGTTCAGTTCATATTTGAAGTAGCGTCCTGAGGAATAGACTCCTGCCTCTCATTTTTAATTTCTTTTTGGTGCACCATGAAGTTCCAATTTGCATAGAAGATTGGGTACCTTTCATGGAGAATCATATCATGTTGTAGGTTCTTTTGCACTTTCACTCTAAATTTTTCGATGCATGTTTCTATTTGCCTTCAACTCCTTCTGACTTAAAAATTTGAACTCATAGTCGACTAATCTTTCTTAATCTTACTGGTCGTTGCTGTTGTCGTTGTTTCTTAATCTTACTTATTTCTGGGCTGATCTATGATGCTTACACGTGTACACTTTTTTTGTTATTAACGTAATCTTCATGTTCTGCAGGAGTACTGAAGTATGGGATGAAGGCCTTCTACAAAGCCGGAAGAATTTGGATTCTGACACCGGAACAGGATAGAGTCTGTCTGGCATAATTTTAAAATGCTATCCTTCAGCCGTTCTGGTGCGTCCGCGAGAAACAAATGCAGAAGAATATCAACTGAGGGCTGATGTCTGTAAGAAGAGTTTTCTTCAACCAGCTCCACTGCTCGTAGCGCCTATGCTTTAGTAGTAGCAGCACTCAATTTTAATAACACTACTGTTGTATGAACATCCTTTAAGCATTTGTTTGTTCTTTATCTGTACTGGTGGAATCGAAATTGAATCTCCAATTGTACACATATGTTGTATATTCTGTATATAGTAATTTAAGTTTTTTTCTTTTCTTTTGAAGGACATTGCCTCTTGTCGCTTTACTTGCAGAGCCTTGTATATTTTGGACTTAAATGTTCTTAACTTGTCAACCATGTATTATGAGCTTGATTTGAGTTCTGGATTGGAAGTAGCTTACTTTTCCACAAGGTCTCCGGGACTACAAAACTGTCCTGTGAATCACTCTTTTAATAATACTCTTACATAATTCTCGGTTTACTTTGTTATTTCATTTTTTAAAGTATTAATCATAAGATAAGAACTCCCATCTATTCCGTACAAAAACTTCGAGGAGACTTGTTTCATGAGTTCTTTCATTCTTATTGTTACAATTAATAGGATCATTTCCTAGAGTACATTACATTATATATACTCAATCTCACAGTCTCACACTTTCCACTCATCATGCTCAACCACTCGGTACAGTATATGGCCCATACGGCCCAGGGAAAATCATCTCGGAACATATACAACACTGACTATAAGTCACCCAATACCGAGGAAAAAGGGCAATCCAACCCTGTGGAGAAATCCATCTCCAGATATCAAGTACTTCGGACAAATCCATCCCTCAATAGTATCATCCGCGCTCACTGGGGGTGTGTTACAGACTCCGGAGGGGCTCCTGCAGCCCAAGCGCTATCATAATATCAATATAACCGCTACGACGTGCAGCCTGATCTCATAAATGTCACTCAATCAGGCTCGTCGGCCTCATTCAGTCATCAATCTCTCCAGTCTTACCCAGGTGCTCACAATGTCATGAAAACTAATCCGAAACAATGATATGATGTATCAGTAAGTAACAACTGAGACTGAGATATGATATGAATGCATGAATATGACTGAGTACGAAATATCAATGAGATAAGTGAGATGACAGCAAGCAACGACTATTACTGGTCCTAACAATATCAGCATAAAGCCTAAACATGATATCTAGCATGATTGACAACTCAGTTACTTTATCACATGGTGAAAACACAGATATCAACAAAAATAGGGCCACTATACAGTGCCATGAAAATAACGGAGTCACGATTCACCAGGTGTACGCCCACACGCCTGTCACCTAGCATGTGCGTCACCTCATCATCAATCACATAACACGAAATTCGGAGTTTCATACCCTCAGCACTAAGTTTAGAAGAGTTACTTACCTCGAACAAGCCAATTCCAATATCGAGTAAGCCAAGTGATGCTCCAAGAATGCTATCACGCGCGTAGCGACCTCCGAACGGCTCAAAACTAGCCAAAAGCAACTCAAATACATCAAATAAAGTCCAAGGAAATAGTTCCAAATGATAAAGATCGAATCCTAAATCAAATCCCAAATCCGGCCAAAAATCACACCCAGGCCCGCACCTCGGAACCCAACAAAACTCACAAAATCCGACAGCCCATTCAATTACGAGTCCAACCATGCTAGTTTCACTCAATTCCGACTCCAATTCGATGTTCAAAACTCAAAAATTCATATTATGAAACTTTAAGCCAAAACCCCCAATTTCCTCTTTAAAATTCATCAACCAAAAGCTAAATTCGAAGATAGATTCATGGAATATAACCAAAACCGAGTAGAGAACACTTACGCCAATTCATAAGGTGAAAATTGCTTCAAGAATCGCCTCAATCCGAGCTCCGTAGCTCCAAAAATGTTAAAATGGCCGAAACCCTTGAAATAGAGTACTTTATACTTCTGCCCAGACATCCTCTTTCGCGAACGCGGTAGAAGCCTCACGTTCACGAAGCACAATTCCACATTTCCTCACCTTACACTACGCGTTCACAGCCAAACCATCGTGAACACGATGAAAAACACTGCCAGCCCCTCCGCTCAACACTACGCGAACGCATAACCATGCACGCGGACGCGAAGAACACAATATCAACCCATCACGAACGCGACCGATGAAGCGCGAACGCGAAGAACAAACCTCTGCACTGGCCAAAATACCCTTCGCGAACGTGATGCTCCATTCGCGATCGCGAAGCACAGCTGAAACACCAGAAAACCAGCAAAAACACAGCAGTGCAAAATAAAGGAAAGATAGCCCGAAATCAATCCGAAACACGCCCGAGCCCCTCGGGACCCCGTCCAAATATACTAACAAGTCCCATAATATAACACAGACCTACTAGAGGCCTTAAAACACACATTATAAGGAAGGGCAGCTCGGGTGCTGCAGAAGCGACTCCCTTTTTGCAAAAGCAGGACCGCAGGAGCGGGAACCCGTCAGCAGGTGCGACGCCAGCCAACCCAGCCATTTCCTCAGAAGCGGACCCTTCGCATAAGCGGGGATGCAGATGCGGCCCAGTGACCGCAGGTGCGGAAAAGCTGGAGGCAGTGCACTTCATTTAATACGGGACTTAGACATTTTTGACTCATTTTCACGCCATTGTTGGGCGATTTTTGGAGCTTATTGGGACGGATTTTCATCTAGATTTTAGAGGTAAGTAATTTCTATCATATGTGAGTTGAGTACTTAGATTATGGGTAGATTAACATGTATAAATTATGAAAATCATGGGTTTAGATGAAAAACCTAGGGTTTGACAAGAATGAGATTTTTACCATGAATTTGACCATGAAACTTAGTGATAATCAAATATTTATGTTCCTTAGGTTATGGGTAACAACTTTCTTCGAAAATTCGCGGAATTCGGGCACGTGGACCCGGGGGTGAATTTTAGGAATCTTACCTTTGGGGTTGGGTAATCACTTTAATAGTTAGAATATAAACTTTTGAACCTATAATAATTTGTTTTTACACTATTTGAATAGTTTTGGATCGTTTGGCTCCGATTTGAGGGTTTGAACGCATTCTTGAGTTTAGAAGTAGGCTTTGAAGCGAGGTAAGTCTCTTTTCTAACCTTGTAAGAGAGAAATTTCCCCATAGGTGAACTTAATTAATATGTGATTATCTGTGGGGGCTACGTACGCACGAAGTGACGAGAGTCCGTACGTAGCTACTATTTCTGTTGTGTCCGAGTAGTTTTAGGTTTACACTAAGCTTTGTGGACACTATTATTTGATTATATGTGCTAATTGTAATGAAAGAAATTAAGTTGAGGATTTCTAAGGATTTAAAGGCTTCAAGTTGAATCGTCTTCATTTTTAAAAAAGAATCAAGAAAGGGTTATGATTTAAATGATAAAATTATAATTGACCACGTCGCACGCATGATCCGCGAGCGGGAAAATTTTCTTAAATTTATGTTTGACCGTGTCGCATGTATGATTCGCGAGCGGGGGGAATAGATGCATCTATGGTTCGCGTCGTTCGACCCTCGGCAGTCACAATTTACTTTTATGTTTGATCGGGCCGAACGTCCTCCGTGGTATTTGTGTGTGATAATAGAACTGGAGCTCTTTATAGTTTGTATAATTTGCTGCTTAAAAGGTCACTTGTTTTAAATGAAGAAAGTGCCTTGAATTCTTAAATATGATGAAGGGATTTTCCAGTTATTATTCTCGTCTTGAGCTTATTGTTATCTACGTACATTATGATTTAAAATGGGAACTTCATATTATTATATTGTTGGCCCTAGTAAGTGTCGGAGTCGACCCCTCGTCACTACTTTTTCGAGGTTAGACGAGATACTTATTGGGTACATATTTTTATGTACTCACGCTACACTTCTGTACTTGATTGTACATGATTTGAGGCAGGTGCATCTGGCCACCAGTCCGCGCGTAGACTTGACTCCCTAGCTTGAGACTTCCCGGTAAATGCCCTTTTGAGCCGTTCTGTAGCAGCTGGAGTCTCTCTTATGTCTTTATTTTCTGTCTATTTCTTTCCAGACAGTAGGCTAGCATGATTTTGTATATTCTACTAGATTGCCCACATACTTGTGACATCAGGTCTTGGCACACACACTAGTAGACTTATGATTTTGGTTTACTTACATGATTACGATTTGTATTTATTACTTCCATTTATTTATGCTTAAATTTTAAACTCCTAAATTTTTATCAAATAAGAAGCTATCACTTACTAATTATGTAAAATGAGAATTCACTAGTCGATCATTGTTGGCTTGGCTAGAAACGGTGTTGGGCGCTATCACGGCCTATAATGGAATTTGGGTCGTGATAAATATAGTTGAATTTCGCCGGAAACACTATGTACAAAATTTGAGGAAGATTAAAGACGATATAGAATAATTTGGAGTCAAAATTCAAAGTTGATATCAATATGCAAACAATCGCTGCCATAATGTGTATCACGTGGATATATCGTTTGTATCAGTACATATTACAGATTTTCATGGATATACATAAATATACATGATTTACACAAATATACATAAATTGGGCCATCACTGTATATTACATGCAATTTTTACGTATTTACATAGATATACATGATATGGATGAGATAAGCCGCTATACATTTCTATACGCAGGACATACATAAATATTCATTGTCTTAAAAACTCATTTCTCTATTTTCACACGTCCTCCATCGCATCAGCACCACAAAAAAATCATAACCACCAACCAGAAAACCCCGTAAGAAAGGGGACACGAATGAAGACTCGTTAAAGAGAAAATAGGTTGCTCCTTTGAATTTTGGCGCATTTCTGAAAAAGGCTATGGTCATTGATGCCGCCTCCTCCTCCTTCTTCGACTGATACTGTTATGCCAATTTCTCATTTAAAAGCTAATATGTAGCTTGACTAGTTATACTGTCAAAAATCTCTCAATGACAACATTCCTATATAACAGTCATTCATTATAAAAGTCACATGTACCTCAGAACCAATTTTTTAAGTTATATTTTACCTTTCTATAACAGCTTTTACCTATAACAACAACAACCATATTTAAAGCAGAACGCTCTTTGTAAAATTACCCCTATGTAACAACCATGTAGAATCATTAAGATTACTAATAATAGCTTTAAAAATATGCACACAATTTTTTCTTTTAAACGAAGTTTTTATCTTGCTTAAGATATAAGATTTGCATATGATATCTTTTCCAATGGACAATATCCAAAAAATATTTAGATAGAA